TAATATAATATAGTACAATATGACATATACATATGTACATATATATATATGATATATATATATATGTATATATATATATAGATAGATAGATAGATAGATAGATAGATAGCTCCAGACCGCCGCTCTCTTCTCCGGGGTCCATGCCTTGATGACAACCGGGGTGAGCGAAACCTGTGTCTTCCTTGGATCCCGTTTGGGGCGAGGTACTGCCTCTTGCAAAAGCCTGCAAGCCTCCTCTTCTCCGCAAAGGCTTGGAGGTGCAGGGCCCCTAAACCCTAAACCCTAAACCCTGAACCCTGAACCCTGAACCCTAAACCCTAAACCCTAAACCCTAAACCCTGAACCCTAAACCCTCAACCCTAAGGGCCCTAAGGGGCCCCTTAGGGGCCCTAAGTGCCCTGGGAGCTTCGGCTCGCGGAGCTTCGGCCTCTGAACTCCGGCTCCGAGCCACACGTCCTGCGTCAAGATGTCCTCGTTGAGCAGGCTCCCATCATCTACCTGGAGAGGGCTTTCGGGCTTTAAGGGTTCAGGGGTTTAGGGGTTTAGGGTTTAGGGTTTAAGGGTTTAAGGGTTTAGGGTTTAGGGTTAGGTAAAAAGAGTCAGCATGCAGATGCCTGACCTGGTTACTAGAACAGGAGATGTGCGATCAGAAAGAATGTCAAGTCGCTTGCCAAATGCCACAAGACTGAAACCACACCAAGCGCAGGAGGGCACACTCTTCACAGAATCCCAAATCACACTGTCCACCCCCCCGGCTCTCCCGGGCCTTCCCGCAGAGGTTTTGGAAAGGAGGCCCCATGCCCGTCTCGCCATCTGGCAGTTTCAAAGTCCCTACCGGAAACTTCGACGGCTGTGAGAGGGCAAAAAACTCAAAGTATCGCCAGGGCCGCAGATTGTGTTCAGATACCGCCGAGCCCCAAGGAGGCTGAAGGGAACGGGCAGCATGCGGCTGTTCCCCACGAAGATCGAGAAGGCCAGTACCTGCACAGAACACTGCTGCTCCACCCTCAGCCCTAACTTTCCGCACGTGTCAGAGTTCTTCGAATCTGCCGATCATCCCACGCGGGGCTTCGGAAAAAGCTACCGAAGTGCTCAGTGGAAGTGGCAAGAAATTGGGGTGAGAAGAACTGCTGAAACTCCGGAGTCATCTGCAGAGGCACCCTGGCAGCTCTCAGGCAATAAGGCTCGTAAACATTCTACATCTCCTTGACGAAAAGCCGGGGAGCCGAGCGATTCTGGATCCTAAAAAGAAGGAGGAAGCTAAAAACCCATCCTAGTGGCTAAGCCGGTGCAGGAGGTCTTCATCGTTTTTGCTGAGATCATCGCTTCTTGAGGTATTCGAAGCTCCTGAAACCCGACACTATACCGACCCTACATCCTGAACCCCATCCCCTCGACAAACCCTTAAAACTTCGGAGCTTCCTGGTGCCTGGCCTCAGGGTAGAAGATGACGAGGGATTCATCCTGGGTTTGGGGTTTAGGGTTAGGGCTTAGGGTTTAGGGTTTAGGGGCGAGTAGCTTCGATCTCGCAAGGAAAAGAAAACGTTGAAGCGAGCCCCTGGAGCTGTTGCCGCACGGGATCGCACGTGCCCACTTTCATGAGTTTGGCGTGTACTAAGTTGGTTTGAGTCTGCGACGCCTCCCCCTTCGGAGCAACCCTGTTACTCAATGCTTTGGACGGCGCTGCGAGATGAGAGTGTGCATGGGGACAGATCTCGTTTCCCATCCCTCAAGTCGTGACCGTGTCATCAGATTGAATAACACCAAGCTGGTGTTCGATCTGCAGCCTCGATGCACTGCTGCATCGGTCTGGTTTCTAGTCTCTGGAATATTGCGTCCACCGCCACAAGGTTATCATTGTTATACAAGAACGAGAACTGTGCATTGCGTCTGCACAAGTCTGGCACCCGTTCTCTTGCGACTCCCCGGTAGTCTAGGTCAGAAGCAGAGAAACACGCCCACAGAAGCCCCCAGTAACCCCAGCTTCTGACTTCCAATACGAGACTCCCAAAACGATTTCTGTCGCTCTTTCCACGCTGGAACCAGGAGCATCAAAGCATGGAACAAACCGAGAGGCACAAGAGGGACCACACTACATCCCTCGTCCAACATGCAGACACCAATTATTGTATCAGTCATTCAGAATGCGCGTCTGGATTTGCGCAGAGATCTTGTCACGTGTCAGAAATGGAAGACCACATCACCGTCGTTGGCACCAGAATTCAACAGCTTGAACCCTTGCAGTCCACTCTCCCCTCGCAAGCTGTCCAACACCCATGCCTGGCTGTTGGCGACATGGCATAGCTGCGCACCACCACCCACGTCCTGCTAGGAGAGCGAGGGATGCTTCAAAACATCGCCATCATTGACATGCCTTCGCATGCATGACACGAGCCCTTGATTGCTGAAGTTCCCCGCATGCTCAGGATTCGGAACGTTAATAACTCCAAGGACGGCAGCTACCAGGACGTTTGGATCGAAGTCCTGGCCAGCAATGTCGGTGAGTGCCTGCGTGCCGGATGGTCGAACGAAACTTTCGCAGCATGTTCAGTGAATCGTAGCAAGCTTGTCAACTGCAATGACATTGACGATGCCAAGGAGAATGAGGAACGGGATGGGCATGAGGACGGATGGGTATGGGAAGAGCAAGGATGAGGAGCAGGTGCATCATCATCCGGATCAGGCTCAGGGAGGGGATACTAGTGCTGTTGACTGTTGACGATGATGACGGCGACGGTGCACACAGCTGCGGCCGCGACGAAAATCTGCTTCTGCTACAATTGGTGGCACTGCTATGGAAAACCGATGAATCACTTTATGACTAGCCTTTGTCCGGCAAACAAATTGCTGTTGAAGTGCCAGAGAAATTGGGGCTTTGGAACGACAGTTCAACTTCGCGACTCCCGGAATATGCAACATGCTCAAAGGCACGAAACTACTCATAACACTAGCGCAACCATGCTGGGACAAGCGATCTACTGTACCATCACTGAGCCTCCCTAAACCTTCCGAATACCTGCAACATTCAACCCGGGAGCCTTCAGCAAGCTTAGTCTGTCTAAGAATGCCCGAGGTAATGCCAAGTCAAAGCACGTCATTTTTCCCGTGCCTGGAAGGGAACCCCAGCGGCCATGAAGTCGCTCAGGCCACACGTTCCTGCCTTGGACTCTTGGAGAGGAGAATGGACCTACCAGCCAGGCCCCAGCTTGCAGCTGAGCCGCGCCCAAGCGCTCGTGGTTGCACAGGGTGGGAGGCTTCATCGTGCGAGCCTGAAGCAGTGAAGCACTGCTTCCATGGACTCTTCAAAGAACCAGCCGAACCCCTGGGGCCCCGCGCCGGGAGGTCCTGAAGCCATTGGTTGTTCACAGGCCCTGGTGTGGTGCCCACCAGGAAGGTGCCGTCCTTCGCAAACGAAAGTCGTATAACGGGCCACGATGCCTGCAAACCAGGAAAGCCTGTGATTTCAATTGATGTCTTCAAAGGGAAATTTTTAAAGGGCTCAGGGTTGAGGGTTGAGGGTTCCGGGTTTGGGGTTCAGGGTCTACGGTGCAGGGCTTAGGAACCCAAGTATCTGCATGAGGATGAAGCATGAAAATCGGAGACCTAGCTTGAGGGGTCTTAGGAGGGATCTTAGGAGGGATACATCGGGCCTTAGGATTGACAAGGCTGCAGTAAGGCTCTTTCCATGAAGTCTGAGGGTCAGCTTTGAACCTGGGACTTGAAGCATTCCACAAATGCAGGCCACCTTTCTGTAGGGCCCAAGCATAAGATGTCTGAGCGCTTTTGGGTCTGGAGTCTGCGGCTTCAGGTTTGGCTGTCTGGGATTTAGGGCAGTGTTCAGGGTTCAGGGCGATTCCCCTGCTCTCCCACGCTTGTGAAGCCTGACTGCTGGCGCAAGTTTTGCTGACTGAGCTTGTGGCTCTGTTGCCAGTCTCACGTTGTGGCGTGGCACAGGTACTGGCAGGTTTCGCCAGACCAATGCTGCGAGAGGAATCGTTATCAGTGCGAAACCAAGGGGACTCAAATCACGTGGAAGGTGCTCGGCAAGGAAGGAGTTGAGAAAGGGGAAGGCACCGAAGATGCAGATCCCTGGCAGTAGAAGGAGCAAGGACTTAGTATAATCCAGTAATCGACAGGCACACTTTGTCTGCATGGCCCATGCCAGGCGAAACATCACGCGGAAGAGGATGGGAACCACTCCGAGCCAGTAAGACAGGCCCAAGAGGAGCTGCATGATTGCAAATATCAAATGAGCTTCATCCTCTGCCAAATAAATAAATTGCCTGAGCCCGCGTGCCGCAATGTCAAGATGAAACCAAAGGAATACCGGAGAGGCTTCGGCTAAACGCCAGTAGGACACCATGTGATTGGCAAGCTGATCCACCAGCAACTTGTATAAGTCGCCTTGGACTTGCCGCTCGAAAGCTTCGATGCCACCAAACCAAATGTTGATGCATCTCTGCATCACCTCTCGGTCGCACATCATACGTTCTTCGCTATGGGCGTATTTGTGATCTACAGAGCAGCAAAAGCTTTCAGCTGTTGCAACACTGAAGTGTGCGATGTGCTGGCACATTGTGGTCACATCACGGCAGTACACACGCGCGAGGTGCGCGATGTACCAGAAAATTAATCCACAAAGAGCAAGCCCCAAGAAGATAACACCATGCCCTCCAAGGGTGGTGTGTTGTCGTACAACGAAGTGGAAGACGAAACCTCCTAGTGCGGATGCAGACCAGCATGCAAACATGGTGAATCCCAGGAGGGTCGGTCGGATGATGACGCGCGGCTTCTCGCCTGGGGACCTGCTGCGAATGAAGGCGGCTAGCTCGTACACACACCAAAGTCGACGAGCCCAAGTTGGATCCCAAAGCACCAGCATGGTATCGGAGCATTTAAGTATGGCCCCTAAGCTCAAGGTGCCCATCGCTTGGAGTTCAGGATTCACTTGAGAGATGCATACACGGTCGACAAACACTAACTGCCGCGGCCGCCAAAACAGCATTGCCAGTAAATAGGCGAGGCATCCAGCACTCAAGCACCACCAGCTGCTCAAGTCATCATCAGGAAGCGCGCCACATCCGAAAGCGATGCACGCAGCAACTGCTGCTCCTGTGCCTACCGCAGCGGCGGCCCGAGCTTTGTTAAGGAAGAACAAAGTGGCAACCTTTCCTGAAACGGAACCATGCCAGCTGTGGGACCAGAATGCATGCAGACGAGTTGTGGTCTGACTCAGATGATAGAAATCGGCACGAGCTCTCCTAGGCTGCTCAGTATTTGACCCACTGGGAAACAGTTTATACTTCTTTAGGATAGTTGTACTGTCGTAGGAACCCAGAAGCAAACGATAAGGCTCTATACTCAAAAGCCTAGTCTCAGGGGCCTACCCAGCCTGTGAAGTACATTCTGGACACGAGTGCCCCGGACGACATCGGGCCTCACCGGCTCCATTCTTGAAATGATGTCAGCAATTCCAGCTATCCACTCTGGGGAGTCTGTCTGGTTCAGACAATCCTCTGCGCCCTTGTCTGATAAAGAGCAGGACCTTTCCGAAGGCACCGACGCCTCGACGTCGAGCTCATTGTCAAGGGCTTCAGGATGTCCAAGCACGGTCACAGTCGGCAGCATGGAATGCCGGGCATGTGCGAATCTGCTAGGTATGAGTGCACATATTATTCAGCTGTGCATATAGATACGCAACTTAACAAATGTGTAAGAAGAGACATAGATGTCGACAGCAAGACGCATGCAGAAACATCTCTCTCCCTCTCTACATATGTATATATATATATACATATCTATACATACATGTGTGTATCGTATGTATACATACATATGTATTCATGCATTTATGCATATATATATATGCACATACGTACATGTCTGTATTCGCATAAACTTGTACTGCTTTAGGAGCCGAAGCTTGTGCGAGGGGCACCTACGTTGCTGGGTCTTGGCCGAAAGCAGCTCTTCGACCCGAATCCCCGAAACTACTACATAAAGCCCTAGACCCTAAACCCTAAACCCTAAAACCCTAAACCGTATTCCTGGAGCGAGCCTCTTGCGAGTCTCGGCTTCAAGTGGCCCCTGCCTGGTCCCCGACAAGTTCGCGGCTGAGGATGGCAAGGTAGGCCACAAGGGAGTACAGCATGTCCGGGCTCGCTCCTTCCGAGACTCCCTGTAGAAGGGAGCTTGTGCTAGAAGCTAGAAGCAAAGGGACAAATGAGTATCGACATGAAGTTGCCTCAACCCGAGCTCCCTGCAGCTCTCGATCACACAGCCTTCGAGACTTCGATGCGATCGGGTTCCTGGAGCATCGTTGATGTCGTTGCATCGCGCAATGGCTGCATCCAAGCCTTCCAGCACGGGTATGCACCCCACAGGTGTGATTCTGGTATAGTGATGTCGTCATCTTCCTTGTAAGCAGAGTCCGAAACCGACAGTCAGAAGCAAAGCCAAAAGGATAGCAGGGCGGGTGTTTGCCACAACCAATGCTAGGCGGCAGTTGTGGAGGCGGTGCAGCGGCAGTTGCGGTAATGTATTATGTTTTGTAAAGTAGGACGACCGGCCAAAACACGCAAGGTTGCCATGCTTCAAGGGCCTGTCTCCACGCCCTGCAGCGTATTGCCGACCAAGCTGTTAATGATCAGGAACGCAAGCTGGCGGTGATTGACGATGATCGCCTGGGGCATCGCCAGCAAGGCCGGCATCTACACGCCAGCAAGGCCGGCATATTACTATCTATACTATTATTGATATTATTATTATTGTTATTATTGTTATTATTACTATTATCTTCAAAGCCCTGATGACCTGGACCTAAACTCTATCTCCTGCAACATCCTGTTCCCCCAAACTCTACATAAAAGCTTGGCAGCCACTCTCTTGTTCTCGCCGTGTTGAGGCACAATGCAAGGTCAGAGAATCGAAATCACCATGATGGGTCATCTTCTTACTCTGAACTTCATGAAAATAGCTCGGATGTACAATTCTTTGAATTTGCAATGTTGAGCCACAGTCAATAGTGGCCATCGCGCAACCCCTGGTTCCCAAATCCTCAACGAATGGTACTCGTCCTGAATTGCAGCTGCCCCACAACCACAACATCCCCACCCACTTCGAGGCTCGAACCTTTCGCTGGCTGTGAATCGGCCCCCCGGCTCCTCCTCAACAGTCGGAGCTTCCACCGATAGTGAAGACCGTTGCTGTCTTCTCTTGCCGGCTGCAGCTAGGAACACAAAGACTCATGCTTGGATGCCACGAAAGATACACCCATTAAGACTCAATCAGCAGAGCACCAATAAGGCCAGGCCTTCTCGAAGATCCATCCAGGGGACCTTCTGACCCCCAGTCGAGAAAGGATCTCTCTTCAGGGTGGCGCGCATGAAGTTGGCGAGGTCCTGGCCGCCGGGCATGACTAAAAGCTGACATCATACTTTGAACGCTCCTTATGAAATTGTCGTTCTGGCAGTGGTCGTCGTCGTCAAAGTCGTAGTAGTAACGGTCGTATTCGTCGTGGTCGTCGTAGTAGCAGCAGAAGTAGCACTTGCACGAAGACAAGCACGAGCACTAGCAGCAGCAGCAGCAGCAGCAGGAGGAGCAGGAGCAGGAGCAGCAGCAGTAGCAGGAGCAGCAGCAGCAGCAGCAGCAGTAGCAGTCGGAGCCGGAGTAGGAACCGGAGTAGGCGTGGGTAGGAGTAGTAGTGGGAGTAGTAGGAGTAGTAAGAGTAGGAGGAGGAGGAGTAGTGG